TTATTGACAGGATCTTTTGCTGAACTTGAAGTGATTAATTTAGCTAGCCTGGCAGGTCAATGAGCCCATAGATTCTCTTGTCTCTGCTCCCCAGCACTGATGCTGATGAGCTTGTATTTTATGAGTGCTGGGGACCTAGGGCTCCTGCTCACATCCTCATGCTCATGTCGAAAGCACTTTACTGCAAAAACCCTCTCCTCACTTCCAAGCCCAGCTGTTAATTGGCTTCTTTGGGTAATTAGGGTTTTCTTTTCTTTTTAGTTATTTATATATTCTAGGTATTACTCCTCTGTCCAAACATACTTTGGAGTAGTAGCTCTCATCCTTCCTACTGCTGCAACCCTTTAATACAGTTCCTTATGTTGTGGTGACCCCAACCATAAAATTATTTCATTGCTATTTCGTAATTATAATTTTGCTACTGTTATTAATTATAATGTAAACACCTGATATGTGCCCCCCAAAGGGGTTGTGACCCACAGGGTTGAGAACAGTCGCTTTAGGGAAAGATAGTGCTAGAAAAGGTGGACGGCCACGTGTGAAACATTGAAGATTAAAGTCCCCAAAACTAATAGAGGAAAGACTAGGGAGAGAAGACGTGGAAAGACCCAGACTCTGAGAGCATCGGCACTGGCTCAGGAGATAGCCCAGAACTAACAGACAGAAGTGCACAGCACTAAGTGTTGCACAGTAAAGGAGACAGTCCCCAGAATGAAGAGCCGCCTCCACCAAGGAAGAAAACTGCTGCTGCAGGTTTGTTTTTAATGCATATGGAGCATGCTCTCTGGCCTCAGCAATCCTGGGCATGGTGACTGTGCAGAACGGGGGGCTGGGGTTCCACTTCACACAGAGGTGTGCAAGCAGTCCCTGGGGGTTGGGTTTGAATTCTGCACACTGGCATCAAGTGTGGCCATCCGACTGTGTGCAGAGACAGTGGCCGAGGTAGGACCTGGTCACCACATAGGTCACATAGGTCACATAGGTGACCAGGTGAAGTAGGGAACCTGTAGCGTCACCGTCACCACGTTTCTTGTGAGAAGCCTGAGAAGGCTGTGATTAAGTGTACAGAGGGCTATCATGTCAGGAGAAAGTGGTTCTGAGGACCGAGTGTACAGCAATAGCATTCAGGTGTTCCTGGAGGGCCAGACTCCGTGTAACATAAGCAGGCTGCTTCTAGCAGAAGAGTTTGAAGAGGGACTGGATTCTCCTGGGAAGCTCAGTCCCCTCCGCTCATTTCCCCTGACACATTCCAGTGGGGACCACATGTCATTGCCATGAAGAGGCATGGCAGAGTGTGGAGGGGACTCAGAAGGGTTTGATTTGGAGGCCTCTGACTGTGAGGCCTTGAACTCGACATCACAGCCCTGATTTCCTTGTCTGCTACAAGGCTGAAGACTCTGCAAACACTGTTCGTTCTCTTCCGTGCTTTCTGCAGGCAAGTTGCAGACCCTCTTGTCTTGCGTTATTGGTTCACATTGGTGACTAAGCATACAGGCTGTGGGGATCTTTGGCCTGGAGTTGTTGTGCTGACTGTATAGTGAGGCCTTTTCTCAGTGGTCTGCCTTCCTCTTGTGTCTTCTGTTGTTAGCTCCCCTCCGTTAGCTCAGACCTGAAGTTCCTTGAGTCTAGTAATATGGTTTTGGTGGCGTGGTCATCTCTAGTGAGCCATCTCGTTGTTAAAGGGTATTTTGAATACCACTTTTGACATTTGTTAAAGCTAATCATACATCTGGTATGTCTGAATCTTGCCTGTGTTCGCAAAGTGTAACCCCTCCCCCTACTTTTTTTCATGTATCTAATGATTTTGGTTTGATTTGGTTTGTGTGTCTCTGTGTGTGGTGTGTATGTGGGGGTGGAGGTATACAATGGGGCTAGAACAAGACCTCTGGTGTCTGCCTGCTTCACTCTGCAGTATCGCCTTCAGACAGAGTCTCTCTTTGAACCAAAGCAGTTTACCCTAGGCTGGCTAGCCAGCAAGCTTTTATATCCTACATGTCTCCTCTCCTGGGATACGTGCAGCCAGGCCTGGCTTTCTACCTGGGTGCCAGGGATTCCAGTTCAAGTCCCTGCAGTCACTGAACAAATGCTCTTACCTATGGAGCTATAATTTTTTTTTCTTTCAGTCTTATTTCTTTGCAAAGTTAAAAACTAGTCCTCAGAACCCATAGGGATATCCAGGGGGAATCTGCCTATCTAATCGTAGTGTTTTCTCAGATGGACCTGATTTGGACTGAATCTTCCCTCTCCAAGCCTGCTCTAGGGAGCAGAAGACAGGGCATCCCTGGGATCCTCAGACATTCAGACTCTGCCCCAGCTATTGCAGCAGAATCCGCATTTTAACAGTGGTACTTCCTCTTTGGGCAGAATGCTCAGAATCTGGCTAAAAGTGTTCCACCTCTTTGTTTGCTTTCCAGTACTTGTTAAAAAGCGCCTGGCATCATGACAGGATTCTCTCACACTCATGGGGCCATTTAATCCTCAGGACAAGTCACTAAAGAAGGTGTTATTAAAACTAAGAAGACATGTCACTGGGCCTGCCAAAGATGTCAATGAAGTGACATTTTCTAGAGCCTGTGTGTCCCAACTCGGAATGTTGAGGCCTGCTTGTCTTTGGCGTGCACACCCTGTGCTTCCGGGTTGAACCAGGTGCTCTGGAAGGATTGCAGAGGCAATGGATGCTCCGTCCCAGTGCTGGCAGCAGTACACCCAGGGCCTCATGTCACATCTGTACCGTGGCCTGCCAAAGCATCAACCAGAAAATAGCTCAGGGAGTTGCCTGCCACAATATAAACTCCTAATAGTCTACCTGTCTGCCCATCCATCCAAACATCATCCATCCATCCATCCATCCATCCAAACATCATCCATCCAAACATCATCCATCCATCCATCCACCCACCCACCCATCCATCCATCCATCCAAACATCATCCATCCATCCATCCAAACATCATCCATCCATCCATCCATCCAAACATCCAAACATCATCCATCCATCCACCCATCCATCCATCCATCCATCCATCCAAACATCATCCATCCATCCATCCAAACATCATCCATCCATCCATCCACCCATCCATCCATCCATCCATCCAAACATCATCCATCCATCCATCCAAACATCATCCATCCATCCACCCATCCATCCATCCATCCATCCATCCATCCAAACATCATCCATCCATCCATCCAAACATCATCCACCCATCTATCCAAACATCATCCATCCATTCACCCGTCTATCCAAACATCATCCATCCATCCACCCGTCTATCCAAACATCATCCATCCATCCACACGTCTATCCAAACATCATCCATCCATCCACCCATCTATCCAAACATCATCCATCCATCCATCCAACCAAACATCATCCATCCACCCATCTATCCAAACATCATCCACCCGTCTATCCAAACATCATCCATCCGTCTATCCAAACATCATCCATCCATCTGTCTATCCAAACATCATCCACCCGTCTATCCAAGCATCATCCATCCATCTGTCTATCCAAACATCATCCACCCGTCTATCCAAACATCATCCATCTGTCTATCCAAACATCATCCATCCACCCGTCTATCCAAACATCATCCATCCATCCACCCGTCTATCCAAACATCATCCATCCATCTGTCTATCCAAACATCATCCACCCGTCTATCCAAACATCATCCATCCGTCTATCCAAACATCATCCATCCATCTATCCACACATCATCCATCCACCCACCCACCACCCATCAGTGTGTACTTCTCTCTTTTTTTTTTTTTGTTTTGTTTTGTTTTGTTTTGGTTTTTCGAGACAGGGTTTCTCTGTGGCTTTGGAGCCTGTCCTGGAACTAGCTCTGTAGACCAGGCTGGTCTCGAACTCACAGAGATCCGCCTGCCTCTGCCTCCCGAGTGCTGGGATTAAAGGCGTGCGCCACCATCGCCCGGCTGTACTTCTCTTTTTTAAAACCATATTATATATAGATGCTTACTAGAAACCAGTTTTGACTGATGCCCTCTGAAGCCTGCACCATATACTATTTTCTTGGGTTCTTCTCCACAGGAAGTGCAGTGGATGGTAGAAACTGATCTTTAATTGTGGAGTATTGTTCTGTTTCCCTGCCTGACTTGCCTTTTGTCTCCTTGGATGTCCAAGCCTACAGCTGTCCCCTTGACACCTGAAAGAGTTATTCTGGTAGTGTGCTCACGATGACCCTGGTAGTGTGTTCATGATGACCCTGGTAGTGTGCTCACAATGACCCTGGTAGTGTGTTCACGATGACCCTGGTAGTGTGTTCACGATGACCCTGGTTGTGTGCTCACGATGACCCTGGTTGTGTGCTCACGATGACCCTGGTAGTGTGCTCACGACGACCCTGGTAGTGTGCTCACGACGACCCTGGTAGTGTGCTCACGACGACCCTGGTAGTGTGCTCACAACTCTGGTAGTGCACTTACGATGCTTCTTCTCACTGGGAAGCATTTCAAGTTTTCCTGGCATATGAAATCTAGGGAACCTAGGGCATAAAACACTAAATGTTACAATTAACATTTAGGAAAATTAATTCTCATGATTAAAGAAAAACTAATATAGCAATTGGAATTTATGCATTTCCGTGTTTGTCATTTTTTTCCTTTATCTACCTTCTTTGTACTTGGATTGACCTAAAAATAAAAGAACATTCTAAACCGTACCAAGCCAATACTGTCACAGGTTTTTCCGTTTCTGTGTGAGTGTGTATGTGTATATACATATAGATGTATTTTTGTTTAAATGGAGGGCCATGTTGTGCTTCTGAGTCCAGCCCCACTTGGTGGCACTTGGTTTCCTTTTAGATATTATCCCATGTTCTTCTTTGCCACTGACATTGGCTTATTCCATATGAATGCCTGATAGATTAAATACATATGCATTTAATATATTGTTTTGATTTGTTTGCAAGTTGTTTCTCTGACAGGGTCTCTCTGGGGAGATGGGTGATTTCTCGTGTTCTGTGCTTGCAGGAAGAATTTTAAATCGTTTCTCCAAAGACATCGGACATATGGATGACTTGCTCCCCCTGACGTTTCTCGACTTCATCCAGGTATGTAAAATCATGTCGTGTTTTCAAACGCAGAACTGAAGGCCCAGGTTCTTCTTTTCCAGGGCCTTTCCGTGAGGGGAGGAGGGTGGCAGCGGGGCTGTGGGGCCGGAGGTGTGTAATGTTCCCTTAGAAAAGGCCGTGTTTGTAGAAGAAAGGCGGGGTTAGGATTCGGAGGCTAGCTTAGCGTGAGTAATGTGTGTGTAGGTGTGGCTGTGCATGCGTGTCAGGGTTGGTTCATGGCAGCCACATGCTGGTAGGTGGCTCTCCGTCTGCCTCCCAGGTATCTGGCGTGGATTTGACTTACTGTGAACACATTTCATAATATAGAAACAATCACCTCTCACGGAAAGATAACCCAGATTAACTAAATTATGCATTGTATTGCCACAAAGGGCAAATATTTACTGCACTGTTTTTTTTTCCTGCTTTTTTTTTTTGGAGGGGGTGGGGTAAAACCAGGTGTGGTTTCTTACAAAGAAGAGATTAGCAATAATAAGGTGCAAATAATACTTTGTTAGCAAGGACAATAGGAGAGCGGTTATTGCAGATTCAAAGCCTTAAATGCAGGCATGGTTAAGCCAATAATAGGAGGACAGGATCAAAGTCTTCTCAGAAAAGGTCCTTTATGTTTTCCTAGGCAACTTTTCCACATTGATTACTCTGTCTTAAGGTGTCTTTAAAGAAAAAGAAAGAATCCCACAGAAATGCCTCCTCCGACATGTTTTGTCTGTGAACTTGAGGCCCAGAGGAATCATGTTGGGTCACCTCGTCTCTCATCTCCTTATTCAGTGTTGTTGCTCCTTGTGGTTTTATCTGTTTTGTTTTGCTTTCTTCTGTCATTTAATTCTGTCTACTTTTCAGTGACTCAGGCCGGGGATCTTCTTGTTTTCCCCTGAGCGTTTATTTTGGAGAAGAGACACATCCATCAAAGGCTCTGCATATGCTCAAATCCCAGCTGCTTGTGGCTCCTTGCCTCGAGACCCGACCCTTTTCAGTCTCCTAACTGCTAGTTTACAGCTGTTCCCTCCAGAAGCCAACCTGTAGGCAGGAAGTGGCAGCAGGGTCTTCATTTGTACCCGGTCTTGCTGGGCCCTTCCCCCTTTCTTCTGAGTCAATCACTCAAGTCCAAGCTTCGGTTCGCTTCTGGAACCACCGATCTAAAGAACTGAATGATTGTCTAATGTGGAAAATTAGCTCTGCCCCACCCCCCACCAAAAAAAAATCAAGAGTGGGCTACAGTGGTTGCTGGCATCCCTGTCAGTCACCTAGAAAGGGAGCCCAGGCTCTCGGATTGCGAGCTGTGTGGCCCATAGGTGAAGACCTCCCTTCCCACTCCCCTGGGGCTCACGGGTGGAGTCTCTGTACGGCAGATCAACGCACCAGACTCTTTTGCTTCTGTGAACTTGTTTTTAAAATGAGTCTTCCTGGATTTAGCTATGTTCTCTATCCCCTAGAAGCATCTAGAGAGTTAGTTGTCTTTCTTACCCCATGGAATACAGATAACTTTAAACACATGTTTTGACAGAGATTATTAATTCCTTCTAGAAGCATTTGCAGAGCTAGGCCAAGGTTGAGTTTTCAGAGCTGACTGGCCCACTGTGTGTTTAGCAGGGTGAGCCTTCCTAATTATAATCCCTCATGTGTTTCTGCATCGCCCGTGGAGGGATACACCTGATTCTCGGTTTCAATAGAAAACGTTCTCAGCATTGTGAGAAGAGAAAATTCTAGTCTTGTTGTTCTTCAGTTGGACCAGCTGTTCCAGGGTCTTTACCTATAACCCACTCACACAATCTTGGGACACTTAACCATTGTTAATTACTTTTGGTGCCCATTAGACCGTTTCTAGAATCAACCAGAAGAAGGTGAGTCTTGATGCTGGTGTCCCTGCCAAAGGAGTTTCACATAAAGGATAACTCGGCCATGGATCAGGATCCAGCTCTGTTGTCTGTCTCTCTCTCTCTCTCTCTCTCTCTCTCTCTCTCTCTCTCGCACACGCGCGCGCGCGCGCACACACACACACACACACACACACACACACCCGTGCTTGCAGGTGTCTCTCCTGAGCCTTCCATAATCCTTTCAGGAAGGAATATTTTCTCCTTTTAAGAATAGTGTTAGCTCGATATAAAAGCCCTGATCCTCTGCCATTGTTCTCGCCCCTTTGAGAGACAGTTCCCGACACTCATTGTTTAAATGGCTGTCAGGAGGAATCAAATAAAACTTGGTAAATGGACGGCAGCCTTCCCTGGGAGGCTGATGATGGACTGGGCTGCTCGTGAGGAGTTGCTGTGATCGTTTGGAAATATTTGGTGCCTGTTGCTGTATGATTGAGCGAAGATTTTTATGAAAACCACACACACACATACACACACAATGAATTTAACCTACCCTCAAAGAAAGGCCAACAAAAATCTAAATGTAAATTGATTTTTTTCTTTTTAAGCCAGATAGGACTCTGCCAGTAGGAAAACTGCCCAGTGGTGTTCTGGGACTCTTAATGGAATCATGTAAACTTAAAATAAACACTATTATGGTAAGCACATAGAATGAAAACTAATTTTCCAAATCAAATACATTACATTCAATTCATTTTCCCCAATCAACCAAATGTTTAAAACCTGTTAGTTATAACAGCAATCTCCTGGAAATTAATTAGAAGCCTATTAGCTCTGCTAGCTGAGGCGGATGGCAGGGGGGTTGCCCCTTACATTCCTAAGCAGTCTCCAGAATTGAACTGCACCAAGGTCAAAATGACAGTCAGCCTCCCTCACCCTCCGGCTGGCCTCGCGCTGGAGCTTCTAGGGTGCTGGTGGCTATTTGGGGGTGCTTTTCACAACACAGCGTCTACTCTGCCTCAACCCTTTAACACACGTTTAAACATTTGGACTAAGAATGTAGCTCTCCTGACCTTGCATTCCTGAGGCCCAGGGTTCCATTCCTTGCACCACTAAAACAAACAAACAAAAAGAACAATAACAATAGCAAAGAAATTTGAGAATTAGCCATCAGATAAACCATTCAGTCTGGAGACCGTTGCCTTTCAATAGCAGCACCTGCTCCCTTCCACAGACTCTGAGGTGTCTGCAGTTTCCTCAGGTCTTATTTCCTCGCTCATCCCCTGAGCCAGTTTCCTGGGTCCCCTGAAGGTTTTTTTCTTTTTTTTTTAACCTTCTCTCAAAATTGACCTTAGTAGCGAACTTCCTGTCTGTCTTTGTTCTTAATGTCATTACTGAACCCTGCTGCTGACTTCAGGAGGCTGCAAGCCTTGATGTCTCTCATCAGATCCTGGAAGTCATTACTTCTCCTCCTACGTACAGGGAGTTTCCCAGGATGCTCCTGTGCTCAGCTTGGCTGAAGCAGTTGAGTTCAGATGGAGCTGGAGATGAGGCAGTGCCCCCAGAGTGAAAACCCCAGTCCACAGGAGAAGTGATAGAAAGCTAAGCAAGGTTCAGATAAAGACTGATTGGCTCCTAGTTCCTCCTTACAAAAGATAGGCATACACACATGCTTTACTGGGTAATAAGAACGGATCGCTACAAGTAAATAACGTGATGACAGTCATTCCTGTGAACTGCTTGATCCCGAGCGTGTGTACGCCATCAGCTTCCTGAAAGATGATGACAGTTGAGTTGGTTTTGTAAGTCAGTTCAGGACTTAAGTTTTCCCCTGCGCGTGATGCTGAGGAATGGAAGGGGTGGGGCCTGAGGACAGGACCCTCCATCTGTGGCAGGGGCCTAGAGTCCGTGTGCTCTGAGGAACCCAGTCAGAAGTCTGGGCAGAGATCTGTCATGCCACCGCAGGGATGTGCAGGAAAGTCTGTTTAAAATGTGAACCAAGTTCCTGGCCACATTGAAGTCTAATTTTGTCCCTCGGGCGTCAAGGAAAGATTGGTATTTCTGTGGACACAGACCGGGTTTGTTTTAAAGTGTTAGCTGTTGGTATTTTATAGTGGTGGCACACGGCAATGTCACACCTGTTTTCTCAAAGCTCACTCATCGTTGTGAGATGTTTGACTGGAGGAGGGCTGAGAAGAGACGTCTGGGAGACCGGGCTCTTGGTGCATACCCACGTGTAGTGACTAGAAAGAAAATAGACACGGGAGGACAGCTCTGTCCCTTTTAACCGACAAGCTGTTGCAAGGCATAGAACAGAGCCGAAGAGCATTTTGAATAAAGCATAAATACAAGATGAGAAACAGTAACGTAAAATACAAAGCTGTATCAGAGTTGTCGATGGCTGGCAGCTTACCTCTGGCTTAGGAAGTATTGTTCAGAAGTGTTTTACTTTCTCAGGAGATTGGGACCCCTTTGAGTATGAACAGGATTTCTAAAGCCAACTCCTCTATCAAGACAAAATAGTTTCTACAGGTTAAAACTCGGTGGTATTGGAGTAATAGAAAAATTAATATATCAATGCCATCTGACCATCTATCCCTCAGATGAGAAACTGAGCAGAGACAACAGTCTCTGAGCAGGAATTTGACCTTCAGAAGATGAATGTATTGGTAAACTAGCTGAGTGTGTGTCTGTGTGTGTGTGCCCATGTGTATGCGTGTGTATGTGTGTGTGCCTGTGCGTGTGTGCGTGCGTGTGCATGTATGCCTATGTGTATGCATGTGTGCGCCTGTGTGTGTGCCTATGTGTGACTGTGTGTATGCCTGTGTGTGCCTATGTGTGTGTGTGTGCCTGTGTGTGCCTATGTGTGTGTGTGTATGCCTGTGTGTGTGTATGCAAGCGCTCAGACAGACAGAGAAGGTCACTAACCCACAGGTTTAACTCTGATTTTTTATGATCGGCACATTTCAGTAGCATGACTTTAGTTTGTTTTATTTCTTAATACAGATTTTATCTTACTGTGTGTTTGTTCTCTTGAGCGTCACATGTGGAAGGCAGAGGAGAGCCTGTGGGAGTTAGTTCTCTCCTTACACCACGTGGTTCCTGGGGACTAGTTCGGGTCATCACGCTTGGTGGCAAGTTCTCTCTGCCCTTTGCGTCCTCTCA